GAGCTGTTAGCTTTAAGAAACTGAGCAATTTAGTTGGATAGCACAGTACTAATGTCGGAAAATAAGCTGCTTAAAGTCGGCATCAACCATAAACTAAATCATATTTCTGTATTTATTTCAGATTTAGTCAGTCATTCACTAAGTTCTTATCAGTGTTTAAAGAGGATGTGTTAAAACTGTTTGGTCAAAGTTAAATATGAAACGTTAAAGTTCATTACAAGTGGCCCTTCGAGGGCCACCGTAACGCTCATGTGGCCCTCGGTGAAAATGAGTTTGACCCCCCTGGTTTGATACATAATGTATATYGAACCTAAAACACTGTATTGAACAGTTCCCTACAGATACATGTATTGTTGCTCCAAATGTATTCCTCTTTGTCTGTCTTTTCTTGCTGTTTTTCTCCCTTAAATGCATGTTTGATGGCCACGCCATCTTTCTTCATGAAACGCCCATAAAAATGCTGTTTACCTTGATTTGTCCCAAAGAAAAGGCTCCAGGAAGCAGGTTTGCAGAGGACATCCCTGACTATAGTCAACTCAGAATCCCCTCGGCCGAAACGCTCAAGACTCTGGAAGATGTCAACACAAAGATTTGTGTTGGAACACTGGTAAAATCAACACTAAGCAATATTTAATGTAATACTCAAATGCCTCAGTAAGTTTTAGTGTTAATCACATCGCCAACAAACTGTCGCCTTTTTCCCAATGTCAGACTAAAATATGTCCTGGCATATAACCGTGCAATATAATTGCTTGCAAAAATGCTTCAGCAACACATTTGTTATAAGAAAAAAAAAAAAAGAAGAGAAATTCAGCTTAATATGTGTAGATTTGTTCTGTATTAATTTATTTCTTGCATTTTTCAGGAAGGGGAAATAGTTTGCGTTGACTGGAAACTTGAGAAAGATCCATCCGGACGTCTGTACAGTTGAGTGGTTGAGTTTATGGGATGTTACTTCTTTTAAACGAGTTTAACTGCTTTGGAAAAAACAATTCCTGTCAAATAAAAAGTGTTTTTTTTATTATGGTTTCTTCTTTCCCAGGTGCCAAACCCCTCCACTCTTTCAGCACTCATAACTCCATGGTGAACACAGTTCAGCGATCGCCCTTTTTGAAAGACATTATTTTGACAATAGGAGCCCAGAATTTTGCCATTTCTAAGGAAGGAGTCACAGTAAGAAAACCAAAAACAAGTGCACAAGTTAGACATGAAGATGCCAGTTGTCGAAATTGGTACAAAATCAACATTTAAACAAAAACTTTAAAGCTGAGATTTTGAAAATAATCCATGAGATTTTCTTTATGTCTGTATTCATGATGCAAATGAGGACATTTTATGTAATTAATGACAATCATTACAACGTGACCTGTATGAACATTAGTGTGTTGAATGTGAACTTATTTTAGGATTTTCACAGTTTTATCTTCACATTTCTCTGAAAATCTTCTTGAACATGAAATCCAATGGTCCATGGTGGGCTTTTCTGACGACGTCACCCAGGATCAGTTTTGCAGCACAGCAAAGTGTCATAAATCAGCTCTACTCTTCAGATTTCCTCATACACTTCGCTTAAAGTGAGACTGAGACTCTTGATGACTGAGTTTTAGGCTCAGCTTTTAGCTAAGAAGTTTTATTCTTGAGTTGGGGCGGCTGTGGAGGAGTGCTTAGGGGAGACGTCCTGTAACCGGAAGGTCGTTGGTTCGATCCCCCGTCCAGCCATTTCAGTTGTTGTGTCCTTGGGCAAGACACTTCACCCGCCTTGCCTACTGATGGTGGTCAGAGGGTCCAGTGGCGCCAGTGCATGGCAGCCCCACCTCTGTCAGTGTGCCCCATGCAGGGCAGCTGTGGCTACAGTGTAGTTTGCCATCATCAGTGTGTGTGTATGTGAGTGTGAATGGGTGAATGTCTGTAATTGTAAAGAGCTTTGGGGTCCCGAGGGACTTGATAAAGAACTCTATAAATTCAGACCGTTAACCATTTAACAGCATTCTTAAAGGGATCCCTGATTAGTTATAACATTAGACTTTATTAGATAAACATATATTTNTTTTTTAAAAACAATTGTAAACCAGCAGGTTCTTTCTCCTTGGAAACTCTGAGGTTGTTGTTGGTGGGTTTCAATAGTTCACCTTTGACCCCCGTAAGTGATCAGGTGACCAGGACACTGCAGTGGAATGTTCCCTTTTGACTCTTGTTCATTTACTCTTGATTTATGCGCTCCTAGTGGAGAGGAGAAGAAGACTCAAAAAAGATGTCATTTTGTGGGGGGGGGGGTTTGGACTAAAAGCTGGCAAAACCTGCTGAAAAGAGGAAAATGTTACAAGGTGTTTTGAGTGCTTCAGGACAAGGAAGAGYGATTTTTGTATCAAGGAAATGTCTTAAAAACATTTTGGATTTCTGGATTACTGTTTGGATCTTGAAAGTGGACATATTCTTCAAAAGTAAGTGAAMACCCTTTTATCCCCCTGCTGCTGTTGGTTTATGAGTTGTTTGGATGTAAATGCTTTGACAAAAGAATGGATTTATCTAGTTTTTTTTGTGTGTTTTGGCTTTAATTGGTGATGAAGGTTGGGTGTATGTGCACCAGCTGTGATTCATCTAGCTGATTATTGATAGTTTTCTGTATTTTCTTCATGCTGGGAGTAAATCTGGATGGCAGAACATGATTCATGTGGCTAATACCTTTCATTTGAGCCCTCAGTGGAGTCTCTTGAAGTATTTAGGAGTTATTGCTGTGTCCAAATATAGAGGCCGGGTCCTTCAAAAAAGGACCCGGCCTACCCGGTGTGGGTGGGCCAGGCGGGTCCTTGGTTCACTGCGAAGGCAGGGAAAAAAGTGGTGCAATGTTAAGCATTGAAAAATAAAATACAAGTAGAGATTATGTTTGTAGGGATGTGGATAAAGTTTTAATCCTACACCAATATTAAATCTGACAGCGGATTCCAAAAGAACATTTCAAACCAAACAAAAYATCATCAAAATCATGTGATTATCTGAAGTATGAGGGAAGTTATTGATGTTTGTTTAGGTGAAATCAGCTCATGTTTTCTTGCTGCAGTTCACCAATGGGGCCTTTGTGACCATTTCACCTTGCTGTTTTCTAATTTTGCTCATAACTTCCTCAGTGTTCAAGATATCGTCATGAAATTTTAGGAAAAGATTCCCATTCTGGTTTTGTAGGAAGCATCTTGTATCCTGAAAAACTAATAAAACTTAATAATAGCCAATTCAAAAGTAGCAGAAAAGGTATAAAATAACATTACAAGGCAAACTGTAGCATCAAATCAACTTAATGTGTCTCAGAAAGTAAGGAAATTAAAACAATTTAAAAACCATGTGGACATCTGTTTTGTAAACGAAGCTCCTCAACCAATGACAGCGTGTTAAATGTGTCAAGTGATGAAGACGAGCATCAAAACACTTTGCAACAAGAGCTGTTCCGGATTTTAAAAAAAGCATACTTCGATGTTTCAAATCATTATCAAATTTGGAAGAAGGGCAGATAAAATAATGTTCTTCATGGCAGCTTATCTCTTTAAGGGGTCACTAGAAAAACTCGGGTGATTTACTTTGATCCTCTTTTCAAAAAATTGTCTCTTCAAAACGCATCAACAAAAATTAAAAACTCGAAGACGAGGCTGTAGCTAAGTACCTGACGGCAGCCAGATTTGTTGAAATTCATAGAAATAACGAAGCAGGAGGAAATTATAAGCAAACACACAGAGCGGCCTTGCAAAATCTGGTCACAGCAGTTTGGGAAGAAAATGGCAGCAGCTGCTGACGAAATGTCAACATCCCTAATGTTTGTTCATCACAGATTGTGTGAACAAAACAAGGTAAAAGTATAGTTTGGAGAGAAAGTAAGATATGGAAAATGAGCTGGGATAATGAGACAAAAGGGAGACATTTATATAGAGTTCAAAATACATTTGACGTTACAAGAAATAGAGGAATGAGTTGGAGGGAGGAAATAAGTATAAATAGAATAAGAGAACTGGTCATAGTTTTTTGAATGGAACTCTTTTTAAGATGGGGAAACATCCCAATGGTATGTGTGATTGGTATAGTGTTGAGGAAACTATGGAACAAGTTTTTATTGGTTGTAGAACATTTAAGAGACAAAGGAGTATGTTAAGTATGGAAATGGGAAGTAGTGGAGAATTAAAGTTTAAAGATGTGGTCGCACAGTTGAATAGTGATGAGGGGAAAGGAAAGATATTTCATTTTTTGAAGAATATTGGTCTCATTGAAAATGTTTGAGGGAGGAAATATATGATGGTTAGATACAGTGGTTTGCAAAAGTATTCATACCCCTTGAACTTTTCCATATTTTGTCACATTACAAC